TCTATATATATATGTTATTACCTACTAGCAGTATGTAAGAATTTGCATAAATCGTATACCAGTTGTTTTGGTGCAGTCTAAATTTTAGTCCTAGACATGTTAATTTGGATTTGATGAAAAGGCTACTGGGAAATGTGTTTAAATATCAATAAGTGTACATGAAGTTATGAAGAGTAATTTGATAAAAGAATGCTACTTACCCAGTTTTTGCAAAGTTTGTCCAATATGTCATTACTACCGCACTTAGCATAACATCGTTTTTGGAGAAATTGCAAGGAAATAACTCTGTAGGTCCAATCATAGGAATCCCAAAAACATAAGGAACCTCATCTCCATGAGCTGTATCTGCCCAAGCAGGCACTTGATCAGATTGGCAATGATGGAAAAAGGCATAGAAGTATGTAGGGGAACCAAAGTTGGAGTGCAAATCCGCAGTTGCTACTGCAGGTGCGACCCATTGGTGGTCAGTGAACAATGCCAACAATGTTTTTCTTCTTGTTTCAGGATTATGCCTATCTGCCCAATCCGTATACATGAATTTTATAGTTTCCCTCATTATATCTTTTCCTTCTGTATATCCATACAAATTATCCACAAAATTTGAAACTGCAAAGTCAAAATCACTTGCAGAAATTCCATCTTCATGGTCCACAATGCTTTCCACAAATTTAAATCCTTCTCCTTGATTGACGCCCAACATTATATCATAGTTGAGAAATTCACCTTGCTCCATTAATATCTGAGGATCATCAGGAATAACATCTCCATCAATTACTGGTCCAAAAGCTATGTGATATCTTGCTGGCTGTATGTCTTGGTCAACAAGTTCTCGATAAGGCTTTTTCTGCAGACATTCCACCAATTCTACAGTATCTGTCATGTTGCATCCAACTTTTGTTGCCAACATCCGGGCATATTTGGCAGGCTGAAAGCTTACTGCCCAACTAGAAAGGGCAGTTCCGCTTTGTGCAATTGCCCTTTGAAAAAGTCCTATGTAAAAAAAATACAGAAAAAGGTATTTAGTATAATTTTACCAGATCAATATTTATTAATAACATTTTAAGAAGAAAAACATGGATTTTTAGCAAAAGTCTTCAAAATATTTTACATGCATGCACTTTCATTGAATAAAATAGATATGTACACACAGAGACACTGCATAAACACTGTCTTTGCAAAGGAATCAACTTAAGTGGACCTATCAAATAAAGTTTTCATAAATGTATAATAAAGCTGAACTCCAGCCTTACCTTCATTGTTCTACAGTTGCAAAGGCTGAAACACTGTATTACAAATGCTTACTGTTATTTAACTGCACATTGTAACCTTCTTATAGTGTGCATTAGAAGCTGCAGTAAGTCAGACAGGGCCCACCTCATATCCTGGCTTGAGGACAATCAGCATCATGTAGTTCTTTCCTGTGGAATTTTACTATCCCTGCCCTGCCCATTTCATTCATTATATTTAAGTTCTTTCAATTATGAAAGCTCAGCATAACATGTGGGTGTTACCAGGGGCAGTATGCATGCAAATGCAGCCTGCCTAGGAATGCCCATACCTCCAGACAGATATCCACCCATCATGGCATTTGGATATTTGAATAACTCCTCCCAAGAACCTCTGCAAGCAGTGGGCTCTTGAGATGAGTATTTAGGCAGGGTGCTGTGATGTAAATCTCTGAGGAAATGGTTCCTCCTATGTAAAGCAGACTGAAGACATCATCTCATCCATGCAACTATGCAAAGTCACTAGGCTGGAACTCAAAGACTGATTTTTAATGATAAACCTTTTTTTTTGAACATGTATACAATTGCTGTATATTATGGCATGTTAGCACTTTATTCATGCAAAGATCCACATTTATTTTATCTAACTTTTATTTTTATTTTTTTTATGCAATAATGTTCAATAGATACGTGGAAAATATGAACACCATTTTTCATTCAAATGATGGAACACAAAGACAAATGTATTTAACTAAAACAGAGCTTTATTGAAAACGGGAAAATAATTTTACCATTAACATTACAGTATGGCAACTTCCTAAAATACCTTTTATGAAGGTTTTGCAAAACATATTAGTTTGTCTAAGTGATTGCAACTTTATGCATATCTTTCATGCAAGAATACAATGGGGTCTATTCACGAAGCTGCCGAGGGCAGCCGAGTGAATGACCGATCTGAAGTGAAGGGAGCCGAACACTGTTCGGCTATTCACTTCAGGCTGGTACGGCTAATTTCAGCCGTACATCGGCTGAAATCAGCCTTACATCGGATTGCTTCGTGTGGCTTCGGGTCGGCCGAACATGCTCAGCATAACTCCTGGGGTGCCAGGGATAGTTAGCTGTTTGGAGATCAGTGTCCCTGGTTAACCAGGGACGCTGATCTCACTGCCTGTGCAAATGGCCGGAGCCAGCCGTAAGATCACGGCTGGCTCTGCCCAGCTGTCAGAAGCAGGCTGTCGGCCGGCCAATGGCCTGCCGCTCGGCCAGCTTTGGCTTTCAGCACGGCTCAGCCGAGCCGATGCATATGCGTTCGTGCTCGGCCAAGCCGCTCGGCCATGATCGGGAGCTGTATGGGCTATTGTGAATAGCCCGTACAGCACCCCTTCGGTTCTACTGAACCGAAGGGGTCCTGAGGCCGAAGCTAGCCAAAGGATAGGCCGAAGCTACGGCCAGATCCTTCGGCAGCTTCGTGAATAGACCCCAATGAACCCACACAGCTGTAAGACAGTGTCAGTTTAAACATAAATGTACTGTATTGTTGCGTAGGTGGCATGATAGCTCTAGCCTTTGTTTTGAACTGTAAAATTTTATTAAAAAATTATCAATTCTAAATTGTTTGATGAGTCTATTCACTCCAAACAGTACATTTTATTTTTAAAAAGTTTCCAGGTTTAACACCTCAAAGTCAGTTTGAATTGTCATAGATTTTTAAGGTGCCAGATATTAAACACCTGTGTAAAGTTAGATTTGTATTTTAAAATTACTGTGCCACAAAGTGCACTATGATACAGGTGCATCAAACTAGAAGATTGTCCTAAAGCACAATCATAAGTCACAGGACAAAAAGCACAATCATAAGTCCTAAAGCACAATCATAAGTCACAGGACACTTTAGGGCATCTTTGTTATGTTCAAAGGGAAGTTCCCCTGCCATGACAACTAAGGATGACAGATAAAAGGGTCAATAATTAAAGAAATCCTCTCACATAATTAAACCTTTACAGCAAACCACATACCTGTAAAGACCAAACTCAATATTTACCCTACCTGTCGGCACCGCAAAACACTGTTCCATTGCAGGAAACTGGTCCCCCAAAGTCATCTGGGAAACAAACATTTCCGAAAGTCTCTGTAGTCCTCCACAACACTAACACTTTTTTACTTAATTATTATTTACATGTTTCAATTGATTGTGTTCATTTATAAGCATATTGTTTGTGTTTTAAAACATGATCAGAATTTAATTTGAGGCAATTTTTTATGCATCTCTGCACATTTATCAAATCTATAAAATCAATGTTTCAGGCCCTCTTCACACTTATCAGAGCTTTGTCCGTTTTTAAAATCACATCACCTATCTGTTCTCCTATTTTACATAAAGTACGCAAGAAAACAATTTTATTCCTTTCACTGGGTGGAACTGAAAAGGACAAGGAAGAAATAACTAAAAGTAAAATAAAATATGACTCAGAGCTCAAGGCTTTGACAATTTGGAATCATGCGTGCAAAACATTTAAACCTACTTCTCGGAGACAGTAATAAATTCAACTCATGAATTTTCAGTGAGTGTGTGTTATCGTGAAACTCCTCTTTTAACCTAGATAATGTTTATTGAGCATCAACCATTAAAATAAAATTGTATTTTGCTTTTACAAGGCAGGGTTTCTTGTGAGAAGCTAAACTTGCCACTGAAGAATGACAGAATACAATTGACATCATTTAGTACAGTTCACTGGATGTTTTCCAAAAAACACCTTTAAGGAAAAACATGTTTTCAGAAATGTGCTCATGATGTACAAGTATGCTAAAGTTGTCCTTGGAAGTTTGCATATTAAATATAAACACGTCATTCACCAGCACTTAATCATGCATGGAAATGTCAATGCAAAAAATAAAAAAAGTGATGATGCACTGTACATATTTGTGAAAGTCAAGCATGGCTTTGGCAGAGTGGCAACATGCAAGACAAGCCAAAAGGGACAAAAATTTAAACTGTATTATACCTTTTGTGGAATTGCTCCAACGGTTACCTTCTGAATAATGGGACAGAGTCAACAGATTGACACATGATGCACCTGCACCAGATCCAAATACTGTTATTCTTAAAGGATCACCCCCAAAAAACCCAATGTTTTCACTAGTCCATCTTAAGGCTTGTATAAGATCAAGGAGTCCATAGTTTCCCTTTGCAGCTTGGTCACCAGTGCTTAGAAAACCTACAAAGAAACAAAAAACAAAAAGAGTGATCATAGGGACATAGGGACCATAAACTGTTAATATTTTATTTTATAGTTTCTGCTAACATTACATTTGAATTGCTAGAAGCCTTATTAGAAACCTTGTCTCTCTAGGCACACACTTTTAATAATGTTGCTAATTAGAAATACGATTACGATAATTTAGTATGCTAGTTAACAAAAGAAACCTAATGTAAAACCTGCTTCTAAATCATATAAGTGAAGGTCTTAGCATCAAGCTGAATATTATTAGAGATGAGGTAAATGCTTTTAAGCTCTGCTTCTAATATAGTAGTTTCTTAGATACATAAATATAGAGCAGCGAAATGTTAAAAATGTTGTCAGGTTATCTATTGTTGTCTGTGTTCCACTGGTGAGATTTTTTTCACTTTCTCTCCAGGAGACACAACAGGCAATTAGAGGAAATCTCTAGTGAACTGAATTCCCATCTGTGAGCAGTGACATTGGAACCGGTGCCCTATTAGAGGCTTTTCTCTAAGGGGTCTATTCACTAAGCTGCCGTAGGCAGCCGAGTGAATGACCAACCTAAAGCGAAGTACGGCTGATTTCAGCAGTATATCGGCTGAAATCAGCCGTACATCTGGTGGCTTCGGGTCGGCCGAACATGCACAGCATGTTTGGCCGACCCAAAGTGCAGAAGGAGTTCGACTCAGCCGATCCAACATCTGGATTGGCTAAGCCGAACCTCCGGCAGGCTACTCGCTGCTGTTCAGTCTATTCTTATAGATGCCGAACAGCAGTGAGTGAATAGCCGAATGCCGCTGAGCGGCATTTGGCTCGGCTGTTCTGCTCGGTCCGAGCAGAACAGAGGGGGACCAAGGGACCAAGCAGAACAGAAAAATAGTTAAAAAAGTAGAAAAAATAAATAGAAAACGATTGTGCGGAGCTAGCAGTGACAGCTAGCTCCACCCAACTGTTTTCCATTGTTCGGTGGTTTTGCTGCCGTCCAAAAAAAGAAAAAAAACCTCTCCCGGGCACTCCAGGAGTCTCCCGCTCCCGGCCGCCAATGAGAGAAACACTGCTTTTTCGTTTTTTTTCTTTATTCTGACACGGAGCCGTGTCAGAATAGAAAAAAAAAACAATTTTGGCCATAGGAATGCATTGCTAGACTCCTATTGGCTATTTCAATTTGCAATAGCCAATAGCAAACTAGCTATTGTTCCCGCCCTCTGCTGCTGTCAATCAGTAGTTGTGGACCTGATGGAGAACTGCAGCAGAAGGCGGGTGCAATGCTAGTTTGCTATTGGCTATTGCAAATTGAAATAGCCAATAGGAATCTAGCAATGCATTCCTATGGCCAAAATTTATTTTAATTTATTTTATTCTGACACGGCTCCGTGCGTTCGGCTCGACTGAGCCGCTCGGCCACGTTCTGGATCTGTACGGGCTATAGTGAATAGCCCGTACAGCAGCCCTTCGGTTCTACTGAACCGCAGGTGTCCTGGGGCTGAAGCTAGCCAAAGGATCAGCCAAAGCTACGGCTAGATCCTTCGGCTGCTTCGTGAATAGACCCCTAAATTTCTGTACTGTTGGCAACTCTAAAATGTTGGATTTTCCATCAATTGTCACCAGAACTAATATTGGCTTGAATTTTACCAGTGGGACACATACATAAGTATATACCTGTCAGAGAATCTAAAACCGCCCCACTTTATCCAAAACTAAAAAAATAAATAAATACATAAAATTGTCTTTACCTAAAATGTAAACATATGTGTATCCCAAGGTTTATGTTCACATAGTGTAGAGTAGTAATCACATCAAAGAGGCCCCGTAGCACTGCCTATGTCAGTAGGGAGCCCTATGTTCTTAAAATTGCATTAGGAGCAGGTTTTAAATTAGATCATTTTGGTTACCTTTAGTGCAATTGTAGTAAATATTCTCTCCCACACATATGTTTGCTGGCATTGAAATGAATGAGCAATTTGCAGTTTTTCTTTATGCACAATTAGCCTTTATCATGACATCTACAGTAATGTATAAAAAATATGAGGCAAAAGTAACTAATTACACAGGTTATTGCTTGCCTGTCAACAATATCTGAAGGTAAATGCATAATGTATTACAGCAAAAAAAAGCAAGAATTTTAAATACACTTTATAGCACACCAATTACTTTTACTAATATGACATACTTTCTTACTACTGTTTGCTATGAAGGTAAAACTTAACAATCTGCATAGACTATCCATAGCCAGGCTTTGATAGGTATGCATTTCTGGACTTCATATAGTAAAATAGATTACCGAGAAAGAACATGCAGTAACACAGTCATTGACATATCAGCCTCCAATATTCTGGCAACATTAACCACTTGGTGACACAGCTTTAGAAAATGTTTTCGTTGCTGGGGACTGGAGCAATTTTGCCATTTTTGCTATGTGTTTGTTTAACCGAAATTTCCATCTTCCTTATTCATTGCATTAAAATATATTATATACCATTTTTTAAAGGACAAAATTGGCTGTAATTTTGATTAGACCTATGCATATATTGATTCCTAATTTTTTAAATAAAAATACAAACAAATGCAAAAACAAAAATGCAAAAAAAACTAAACCTATTTTTTTTTAAAGTTTTGGCAATAATAATGTGTACATAATTAGTGTAGCTAACAGAAAGTAATTCATAACAAATTATTGTATTTGTCCTGATTTATGGGGTCTATCATATGTCTGGGATATCATTTTATTTTATATGAATGAAATCCAATTTTAGTGTGGAACAATTTTAGAATGTGGTATGTTTGTCTCATAACTTTAATAGCTGTCTTGACACTATGGGGTCTATTCACGAAGCTGCCGAAGGATCTGGCCGTAGCTTCGGCCGATCCTTCGGCTAGCTTCGGCCCCAGGACCCCTTCGGTTCAGTAGAACTGAAGGGGTGCTGTATGGGCTATTCACAGTAGCCCGTACAGCTCCCGATCGTGGCCGAGCCGAACGCATATGCATCGGCTCGGCTGAGCCACGCTGAAAGCCGAAGCTGGCCAAGCGGCCGGCCATTGGCCGGCCAACAGCCTGCTTCTGACAGCTGGGCGGAGCCAGCCGTGATCTTACGGCTGGCTCCGGCCACTTTCAGAGAGATCAACGCCCCTGGTTACCTGTTAACCAGGGGCACTGATCTCCAAACAGCTAACTCTCCCTGGCGGCCCGGGAGTCTCCTGCTCCCGGCCTCCAAGGAGAGAAACACAGCTGTGTCTTTTTTTCTTTATTCTGACACGAGCGATGTCAGAATAGAAAAAATAGAAAAGCATTGGGACATTATTTTTGCCTATTTCAATTTGCAATAGCCAATAGTTAACTAGCTTTGTACCCGCACGCTGCTGCAGTTCCCCATCAGGTCCATCAGCAGAGGGCGGGTACAATGCTAGTTTACTATTGGCTATTGCAAATTGAAATAGCCAATAGTAATGTCCCAATGCTTTTCAATGGGAATTTTTTTTTTTTTACTCTATTCTGAGATCGCTCGTGATCGCCCGAGCCAAATGCCGCTCAGCGGCATTCGGCTATTCACTCACTGCTGTTCGTAATCTTTAAGAAAAGCAAGATGTTGGATCGGCTGAGTCGAACTCCTTCTGCACTTCGGGTCGGCCGAACATGCTGAGCATGTTCGGCCGACCCGAAGGCACGCGAAGCAAGCCGATGTACGGCTGAAATCAGCCGTACCAGCCTGAAGTGAATAGCCGAACAGTGTTCGGCTCACTTCACTTCAGATCGGTCATTCACTCGGCTGCCCTCGGCAGCTTCGTGAATAGACCCCTATATTTTCTTAAAATGTTTTTATTAAATGTATTTTTTCCTTTTTAATTTTTTTAATTCTTACATTTTATTATTTTTTAAAACTTGATACTTAGTATATCTGAGGAGAATACAGTACTCTACCCAGAGATACTTTGTATCAGTTTGTAGCACACAGCCGAGTCGCAGCTGCACAACACAGTGAGCTGCTGCTGGCTCTGTTGCTGTTACTGCTCTGTGATCGTGGAGATCAGCTATCACTTTGATCATAGTGCTGTGAACACCTAATCTGGTGTTGAGGCTTTGCCTCTGCCCCTGAGGGAACCAGAAACACCAGTAACTCCATGAAGGCTGGTCCCTCTGTGGTCCTGAGCTCATTGTACCGCATGGCGTGATTATCCCGTCAGCGGTCATTTATTACCTGCATGATCGTCATTGGTTGGGAAAGGGTTAAATTGCTAAGACCAAATCCTGTTTGTTGTTCTGCAACATAGTGCTTATGTGCTATATGCACTATGCTATTAAATAAACTTGTTTTACTTTATTTAAAGGCATGAAAGTACTATATTTTTCAAAGTTAAAAAACTAGCTTAATTTTAAAACTTTCATAAGCCTAACTTGCCAAACATACAGTGTTGTAGTTGACAGCTCATTTGTCATTACTGTCAGGTCTATTCACTAAAGGGTGAAGAGTTTGGAGAAGGCCGGAGAAGTGAACAATCTAGGCAAAAATAGTCGATTTGGAAAAATTCTCTAATTCAGCTCACTTTCCAGTTCAGCTATGTTGTCTTAGATTGTTCACTTCTCCTGCCTTCTCCAAATTCTTCACCCTTTAGCGAATAACCCTGTGTGTATGCACAGGTATTGGTGCACTGATATTTGCTCATTCTGGAGTATTTGCAGTCATTGATAGCCTCTTTATTTTCTATAGCTATGTCACAAAACCTCCAGAAGTGGGTCAGTGTTCAGCATAGGAATTAAAACTGAAGCCTGCACCTAGCTGTGCTCTATGTGCCCCTTTTCACCATGCCACAGGCACCTGAGATACAGTATATCTGTAAACTTTTTGAGACATAAACATTGGTATCACATGTAAAAATTTGGTAGAATGTACACAGAAAGAAGCTAAGGCATAACAAGAGCAACTTGATAAAACAAAACTAAGTCTAAATGACTACATGATAAAACTATAACATAATAATTAATTAACCCAAACTAATTA